TTTACATTTATGATGTATTTTTAGTAAATTAAGTGAATTTTTATAGTTATCACGCACTTATATATGTATACGCACATTGTGAATACAGAACCGTTGATTCAACCGTGGTTTCACACTGACATTAGAAGAGTGCTGCCACATCTAAGAAAATAACAATAAAAGAGAATAGTTTTTATCGTACCCATTTTCCTGCTCAGCGTTGAATTAGTAGTATACGAGGGTATGGGGTTAAACACCCCCAATATAGACAAAAAATGACAAGCGCCGCAGGCAAAGAAAATCGCGCGATTTTTTATTAAAAATTTTCATTGTTTATCGAAGTATTGAGTTTTATGGGAAAAGCGCCGCAGGAGAAAATTTGTAATAAAAAAAGCGCGATTTTTTATTACAAATTTTCATTATTTATCGAAGTATTGATTTTTATGGAAAAAGCGCCGCGGGCGAAAATTTTTAATAAACAATCGCGCGATTTTTTATTACAAATTTTCATTACTTATCGAAGTATTGATTTTTATGGAAAAAGCGCCGCGGGAGAAAATTTTTTATAAAAAATCGCGCGATTTTTTATTAAAAATTATCATTACTTATCGAAGTATTGATTTTTATGGAAAAAGCGCCGCAGGCGAAAATTTTAAATAAAAAATCGCGCGATTTTTTATTAAAAATTTTCATTATTTATCAAATTATCGATGTGCGTTTTCTACATGATCGTGTCAGCTGACACGTTAACGGAAGTGAGTGTCGCTGACGTGCGACGGTTACGCACGCTTCTCTCTCTCTCTATCAACAGTACATTTTATATGTTACTACGTCAAACAGACACGGCATACGTAGACGACGGTGAGTGTGGGCATCTATACCCTTAAAGATTTCAGGGGCATTTGTTTGCAGGGTATATATTTACGTATATGTGTATGTATACGCGGATATGAAAACAAAGCAAAACAGGCGATAATTTGACAGAAGCGTGATCATAAGAAGAAGCATAGATTCTATCGCTATCACCTGTATTTGATACGCCTTGATGGCTGTATTGCCCGAACAGAAGGGTGCTAC